AACCCTACAGGACAGAGTAGAACTGCCTGACAGTTTCCAAGGAGCGCCTAGTGGATTCAAACTGCCAACCTTTGGTTAGGAGCTGTAGCTCTTAACCGCTACGCCACCAGGGTTTCCAAGTGAGGATTAGGTGTACTTTACTTGGTCCACTAAAAGATGACTATTATCACATATTCTAAAAACTCACACCTATATCACAGCGGTGTGTATTAAAATTGCTGGAAAAAATGCTACTTTGCACATAGGGTTAGTTTTTCCCAATTTAAGTCAAAAGGATTTCATATTCCGAATGATTTATGTATTTGGTTTGAAGATAATCATAAGTTTACACTTAAGTTATGTACATTCTAAGCCTATCTATAGCCAAATTAATCTCAATACTTATTTCTACAAATTACATAAACATAGGTATTTTCCATTCCCGTTTCCTAAACAGACAAATGCAAACATTCAGTATTCTATTTAGAATAGTCTTACCATAATTGAGACTTAATTACGCAGTAATCAGCTGCTAGTTTAAACACTTCAAAAGCCAAACAGAAGTATGTGAATTACAGGTAGAAGACTTGAACAGGAAACACCACTAGAAGAATACACTCCCTGACAGCATTTTATTGATGTAAGAATAATTATCTACATTATGTACACTTCCACAGCATATGCTTTGATTTCTGTCTGTCCATACTTAATTGATTTAAGGAAAGCAAATTACACTGTGGGAAAAAGCAGGGAGAGAACACAAATGTAACATTCTTCACAAATCTTATTCTCTTCAAATTTAAAAATATAAAAAGAAAATCTTAAACTTTATCTCAAAAGACTATTATAAGCTTCTCTTTTCCTACTACAGGTCTTTGTGAAGCTGACTTTTCTTCCATATTATTTCAACCAAAACAACATAGCAATAGATTGAATGCAGAAGCATATATGAGAATCCTGCTGTCTTCTATTAGTAAGACATGAAAAGAGGTTTGTAAAAAATGTAAAACATTGCCACACTTCTCTGTATCGGTAAACAGTTTTTAAATAAAAATGTGTGATTTATGTTAACATGTAATGGATTTATAATTTTTGAATGAATTAATAAATGAGTACTAAAAGTTTTAATTCCTAAAGCAGTAAAATATCGATAGTTATAACCCATATAAATAAAGCTCTTTGGGGTACTTGATTTTTAAGAGCTTTATTTATACTTTACAGGGTCCCAAGACCAAAGTTTGGGAACTTCTTGTCCTATGGTATAGTTATTCCCATTTTAACTAAAATGAAAAAGAAAACTGACGGGAAATATTTAAAATGTTACGTAAAGTCAGAAAAGAAGTATCAAGCTTTTCAATAGCCTGCTTAACTCAGGGAGCCGTGCTGTTTCCTAAGCTTGCTTTCTAAACACTTTAGTGCTCACTGGCATGACAGTGGTAGGAAAACTCCCAAAATGCAGATTGCAAAAGTGATGCTATTATATACAATTTTCACTTTACTTATTTCAACTTTGAGCAACATTACAATTATTTTTACACATATTTACAGGGGGAGAAAAACACACCTACACAAAACCTCTCAACCAAGTTCTCAAATAACCCCACATATTTAGTAATTGAAATAACTATTGAAAATCTGCTTGGAAAAGTCAGCACTCTGATAAAAAACAATTCACGCTGCATTTAATTCAATTATTTAAAAGAATTCTAGAATTTACCACAAGGATTTAAACCACTGCAATTTTGAAATCTCTATTTTAAAAATGTGCTTCACTACTAAAAGGAACCAAAACCAAGGGTTCTTGAAGAAACGCTGATTCCAGGGTTGAAGCAGTGAAAAACTAGGATGAACCTGAAATGTCTCGTGCCAGAAAGTGAGAGTCCTCAAAAAAAAAAAAAAATCTAGTCACTGTCAAGTTGATCCTGACTCATGGCAGCCCTGTGTGTGTCAGAGCAGAACTGTGCTCCATAGGGTTTTCAATGGCTGATTTCTCAAAAGCAGATCACCAGGTCTTTCTTCCAAAGCACCTCTAGGTGGACTCCAACCTCCAACCTTTCAGTTAGCAGCCAAGCACGGAGGTTAAAAAGACACAGACCAGCTTGAAGGGGCTCCCACTAGCCAAATTTGTAACAATTTGAGTATTAAAATAAATAGGGACAGTAATGGACTGCAACCCAGTGAATAAAAACCCACAAGTCCATGCTGATAAAAAATAGGAGGGAGAGAGGGAAGGTGGGCTCTTTCAGTAAACTGAGAAAATATGGAGAGAGCAGTGGAGTTGCGGGGGGATCACCACTCTGCAACTATCATAGTAAAGATGGTTCAAGCAAGTACCAATAGATGCTAAATGCGGGGGTAGGGGGAGTTTGATGAGGAGAAATCTCAAGTGTCTCCCCATAGATTATTTATTACTTGCAATGAGGGGGAAAAAAAAAAAGGAATACAGTGGAGGAACCAGATAACACCTCGACTAAAACGAACAAAAAATCCCGTTGCCATCACAGAGATTCTGACACATAGCAGCCCTACAGGACAGAGTAGAATTGCCCCACAGGGTTTCCAAGGCTGTAATCTTTACGGAAGCAGACTCCCTTGGAGTGGCTGGTATGTTCAATCTGCTGACTTTCTGGTTAGCAGCCGAGCGCTTAACCAGGGCTCCTTAACACCTTGAGACTAGGTGATCAAAACTAAAATCACCAGCAAGGGAACATACAGGCATCGTGCTCTTCCTGAAAAGGACACAGTATCACTTAATGTAGTATTCCAGCTTGGAATACATACCTGAGGAAATATCAGGTAAACCCAAATTTAGGAACATTCTATACAACAACTGGCTTATAGTCTTCAAAAATGCCAGTGTCATGAAAGACAAAGAAAAGGAACTGTTCATTAAAGGAGACTGAAGAGTCATGACAATTAATGCAATACATGATTCTGGACAGACTCCTGTACTGAAATGGGACAATGGACAAAATTGGAATATGGAGTACAGATGAGATAAAAGTATTGTTTCAATGTTAAATTTCCTAAATTTGATAACTTTACTGTGGCTATGTAAGAGAATAATCCTTGTTCTTAGGAAATGCACACTGAAGTATTAAGAGGTAAAACGGACATGATGAGTGTAATCTACTTTCATATAGATCAGAAAAGTGTGCATACAGACAGACAGACAAAGTCAAAGAAGGAGAAAGAGAGCATGACAAACAAATATGGCAAACCTTTAAATATTGGTAGATCTGGATAAAAGGTATACAGCAGTTTTCTTAACTATTCCTAAAACTTTTATTTCAAATTAGAAAAAAAATGCACAACGTTGTGAATGTACTAAATGTTACTGAACTGTATACTTTAAAATGGTTACTTTTATATTATATGAATTTTACCTCAAAGAAATTTTCTTTTAATTTGCCTCAATAAGTAACATATATAATTTGGAATAAAGTCAAACCTCAAGAAAAGGACTCGATGGGAAAATAATCTGCTCTGTAAACTTTCACCTAATGCATTTACCAAAACAAAACACTTTAGTATATTTCTATAGTCTTATTTTTCCTGTACATAAACCTTTTTTTAAATCATACTGTTAAAAAAAAAAAAAAAAGACTGGTTGGTTTATTTCCATTTCATATTGACCTGTCATTTTTTGATTCTACAAGTTGGAGAACATTTATTTCAGTGTCACTTAGGCAATAACCAGCTCTCTCAAGTACAATCATCCTCCCATTAAAGCATTAAAGAGTTAAGATGTAGAGTGAATATTATGCTTTTAGATACAGAGCACATAATGTAAAGAAGAGTTTACCAGAGTTAAAATACATGAAATTTAGGCTTACCTGACTTTTATAATTAACGTCATTTTTATTTTACTTTTGTTAGTGTAAAAGAAACAATTAGTAGCATGTTGTTGTTAGTTATGCAAATCTTACTCTTTTGGAGCCTCTCCCCCCATCCCTCCCAAATCCAATCAGTCAGTCTTAGTATTTATATGAGTAAAAACTCTTAAAAAGGTCATTGTATTAAACCAATAATTGGGCCAAAAACATCTTCATAAAACTTAAGATTTGCAACGCTCTTGCGATTGTTCTAGTTGCAAAGTTTTCATGTAGCGTAGTAACTTATTAGCATATCTAATAAGTTAATAAAAGTTAGCAAAGTGTTATGTTTAGATACAATGGTAACAGAATATTTATGGCTCTAAGTAACTAGGACACCCATCCCTACTTGGTAAAGAAGCTTCACCAAATATTTAGCATAAAATATTTATTTAAAAGTTGCTTTGCAAACACCAGTCATTACAAATTCGATTGTATATCACGTGGTACACATTATCAACTCAAGTACAAGTTTCTCAAATGCAATGGGATAACAATTTTTAAAAGCCTAAACTCCCAGGATACACAATTACTTTTATACAAATACTATTCCTATTCAATAACTAAAAACACTCCTACTCTGTACTTAAAGCAGCTTCAGACACATTGTTTTCTGTGTCTTACTGAAATACTGTTTCCTACCGCTGACAGTTGCTGAAGGCCACTTGCACAGGTTATTTGCTTTTTAGTAAGTTGATTTTTTAAAAAAGGACAATGTGATGTTTTTCTTGCTTAGTATAATATGTTAAACTGGTTTCACCAGCAGATCAAATATCCAAGGTTTAAAAAAGAGTACAGTATAAGTTTTATTTGCATTATAGATCCCAATTACTGATTTTGGAAGAGGCTGCATAGGCCCGGCTCACATTATTTACTCCCTATTGCTAACCGCCACATTGTCTCATGATCTTGTTTCTCCCCAGGTGCTAGTCTCTACAAAAGATTTAAGATTAACCGATGTTCCTCCTTGGAGGGTGGAAAACAAGTGATAATGATCTAAGAATGAGAAACCGAACAAAGCACCCATCTTGGGACAAGAAAACCAGGATGTTGCCAGATAATCCCCAAGAAAAGATTAACTCATCTGGAACTGACCACCTAAAGGGGGAACTAACACAAACTTCTAAGACTCATAATCCTGTCCGTATAAAAGCCTTCAGCCCATCTCCAGTGGGGGAGACAGGTTTTTTGGAGGAATCTATTCCCCTCTGTCTCTGTCTCCTATATATCAATACATAATAAAACTCTTGCTGCTCACCTCAACCCTGTCTCAGAACTGGCTACTGCGGCAGGAGACTCCAATCCACGTTATTGCGGTAACAATTTTACAGACATGATAAAACAGCCACTAAAATAATTTAATAGTAAAAATGTTATTGTTAAAGGGGTTTAAAAGTTTATAAAAATATACTTGCCTACTTTTTTATTCCTATTAATTAGAACTAACCTAAGGAATAACAGTCTGTTCATTTATAACTTTTACCTCTGAGTTACAATTCTGAGATGTCTTACAATGACAAAACTTTAGAAACAAAATTAAGAGAACAAGAGTTTACTGAGAACACAGTGGTAAATGTTTTCACATATATTAGTTCACCTGATCTTCTTAACAGTTCAGGAAGGTAGGCCTTATCCCCATTTTACACAGCAGGAAGTAGATGAAGTCTCTGACTTGTGATGTCTCCCTGTACCAGCACTCCTCCCCCACCCGCCATCAATTTAAAAATACAATTGAAATCCAAAGAAATATGATCAACTTTGGTATACTCGTGCCAGTTATATTTTTATTAATAGGTAGCACCCAAGATACTCTATTAAGGTAATTTTATCAAATACATTATCTTATTCCTTTAAGAGAAAAAATCTGAAAGTACTGAAATTAACTAACCTTAAAAACAAAAAAAGTATAAAACCTTCTAAGAGAAAAATAAAATGAGATATCTTACACTCTGAAACACTATGAAATTTACATCTTTGTAGATGTAAATGTTTCATATTGTACAGTTTGATTACATCACTTACAGATGTTTTTCACTTCTACTTGATTGAATTCAGATGCACTGCCAAGTATCAAACACTAACAAAAAAATACTGAAAGTTAAGTAATTCTAAATAAAACATAAAAAATTCTATCAACAGAATAACAAGAAATCCTGCACCTCAACATAGACAAGGTTTGTAAAATCACTTCTTTGTGAACTTACTATTTTTTTTAAATTAAGTCAGTTCTATTTTATTTTTCATTTTTCAACTGTGATTAAACTTAGATGTGTTACAAAATCCCCAAAACTAGAAACTCAATTTTTCAGAATGAAGGAAACTGTTTCCAGAACCTCACTACTGAAGATACAATTTAGAAAATCTTTATAACACATTTTCCCTCAAGCTCTCAAGAAACAAAACAAAAAAAACCCCTACATTTCAAATTATTTAATTTAGATTATTTTACTGGGGGGGGGGGGGCTCCGTTCTTTTGCATCAGAATAACTTGTAGTCAGCAACCCTACATCAGTCAACCTGTGTTTCAGACTTCATGCTTGATACTTACATGAACTCACCTTCCTCTCAGCAAATACATTTTTTAAAGACCAGGATTTATATCCTTCCTGAAACTTTTGCCCAGCCCTAACTGTTTTTTCCATTCTCTGAATTTCTACAGTATTTACATTCTATACCCCGAACTCATAAGAACACATCACCTTGTAACATTCTCTATTTCTCTTTCACCCACTTCTTATCAACAGAACCATTAGCTGTCCAGTAGAACCATAAGGTCTGTTACACATCTTGCAGTCCTTTGCAGGGCTTGTGGTAGGTGCTTAATAAGCACTCAATGAAGGACTCTTACAAGGTATGGCCAAAATTAACAAGGATATCAGTAATGTATTTTGAACTATTGTATAACATTTAAATATTTACAACCTATGCCAAAAATATAGTACTTGGGTAGGTACATAATGGAATAAGAAAAATTATTCCTAAATGATCCATTTTTCACATAAGAAAAATTGGAAAAAATATCCAATTTAACCTGTGCATAAATAACACAGGTTAACATGGTACAGCACTATAGGCATATCAAACTGATCACAATATAAAGGTCAGAGGATTATGTGAAGCTTATTAAGGTTGTGGGATTTGTTTAGAGAGGACTACTGATTCTGAAGTTGATGTTGTTAGCTGCCATTGAGTAGATTCCAACTCACGGTGACCCCATGTGTGCAGAGTAGATCTGCTCCATAGGGTTTTCAAGGCTGCGACCTCTTGAAAGCAGACTGCCAGGCCCGTCTTCTGAGGTGACTCTAGGTAGGTCTGAACCACCACCTTTTCAGCCAGTAGTCAAGTGCTTAACCACTGAGTCACCCAGGGATTACTATGAATTTGATATACAGGGAGTCCCTGACCTACGATGCATTTGAGTTACTACAAACGGCACTTAGGACCGTTTTTTTTTTTGGTACATCTTATTGACAGTAATTATGTACTCTGTAGAACGCTGCAGCGCATAATTTGCTAACCTTATCATTCTCAGAATTTCACTCACAGACATTCAATGTTATGATTTACTTATCAAAACACTGCCACATAACAGGCTATGGCTTGGTCTTATAATCAAGTTGGTGTCGGTGTAGGCAGTCGTAAGGGACAGAAAGTTGGACAATGTTCAACTCTAATCACGTAAGACAATTGAACTGTTTATGTGTCTAACAGCTGTTACGACTCCGACTTCATTTTTACAACACTGACACCAACAAATAAAACCTGGATTTAAAAAGATACTGATAATAAAAGGCAATAATAGCTAAAACTAAAAAAAAAAAAAAGTGTTATTCGACTTACATCAGAACTGACTTATGATGGAGTCACTGGAAGGGAACGCCGTCATTAAGTGGGGGACTATCTGTATATAAAACAAAAAAAACCCATTGCTGTCGAGTCGATTCCAACTAGATTTAATATAATCGACTCATGAATATCACACTTTTTTAGAGTTAATTACAGCCAGCACCTTCATAACAATAGCTAAGATTTTCTTCTTCACCTATAAAAACATCTGTTTGCTTCCCTGTCAATGAGGGGCATTGAGCTTAGACAGTATTCAAAGCACTGCAAAAGGCCAGAAATGTATACATTTCTGTATACAGGGAGAAAAGAGTAATAAACAGTCTCACTGAATTTAGTTTAGAAACTTAAGTACTGTGAACTTTTTAAAAGTAATTTTTAATTTGATAATGTATGCACTAGTAATTCACCTTCATGATAGTGAAATATTACAGGACAATAAACAAAAAATTGTCTAAGATTAGCAAAGAAACTGTTAAATATCACATATGCTCTGAGAGCAGATAATCTAAATTTAAGTGTAGACTCTTATTTTCTAGATGTGTTACCGTGGGCAAGTTCCTGACCTTCTCATGCCCCGATTTCCTCATCAGTAAATTGAGGATATTAATACTGCTGTCATCACTGTTCTTGGAACATGCTAAATGCTCAATAACTATTAGTTTTTATTATTAGAAATATTTGGACTTAAAGGATTTTCTCTGTAATACATTTCAACTTACCAAATTTAACGTATTCTTCCACAAATATTTATTAAGCATCTACTGTATGTTATTCACTATTCTAGGGGCTAGTAATACAGCAGTAAACCAAGCAAAGTCCCTGACCTCAAGAAGCTTATATCCCAGAGGCAGCAGACCAAATCAAAAACCAAACCTGTTGCCTTAGAGTCAATTCCAACTCATATGGACCTTACAGGACAGAGGAGAACTGCCCCATAGGGTTTCCAAGGAGCACCTGGTAGATTCTAACTGCCAACCTTTTGGTTAGCAGCTGAACTGTTAACCACTATGCCACCAGTTTAGCAGACAAATACATGTACGTAAGTGAAGGAAATCAATCAAGTGGGCAGGCAGGCAGAGGGGAAAAAGAGCAATGAGTGTGCATGCATTCTCTTTATAGGAGGCCAGTTGAGCAGGAACACAGTAAGAGAGCAAGGGAGAGTGGTAGAAGATGAAGTCAGAGGGGTGAGCACACAGCCAGATCACATAGAGGCTTGTAAGCAGTGAGGTGAGAAGCCAGCAGAGGCTTTTGAGTAAATCTTGAGTTAATATTTTAAAATAATCACTTACTGCTCAGTTGAGGGTAGATTATAGGTTAAAAATTCTGTCATCATCAGAAATGAGCCACACTTCTAGAGTCCATTCAGTACCAAATTTGTAACTACAAGCCAAACATCAAACTAAGGATATTATTTAACTATGGTGGTTTAACTGCAAACAAAAATACATAGTTTTATCCATACAGCCTTAAGTCACTTTTTAAAAACGAGAACTGAAAACTATGGGAAAAATAAGAAGAAAAAAAATCTCATTATGTTTATTTGCACTGTTCTGCAACGATCTGCTAAAAATGCATTGAAACAAATGGTAAGAAAAACAAACTGAATTGAATTTTTAATGCAAGACTTTTTTCTACTATAAAAATGTAAGGCTATCTGAATGATAATTCTTTAGTGAAACATTTTAAAAGCATGCAGGTGCATTTACCACATAATTGTGACTTTGTGTGAGTTATAAAAAAATTTGTATTTGAATCATTTAAATACTCTTTCTAAGAATTTGGAAGCTAAACAAAATTCATATATCAAAAGAAGTCATTCTAAAATAATTGGCTAACTAGACTTTTCTAATAGCTATAAATTAAATCCAGCATGGGAATATGTTATGTTGCTTTACCTGTATTTAATTTTCAGGCTAAATGGAATCCTGGTAAGCCAAAAGAATTTCTTGCCAATTTGGGGGAATGGAAAGCCTTTTATGCACTGGGCCTTTTGTATACTGTTCATCTGTTATCTGAGACCATAAATTTGATACCAGACATTTCAGAGGATTTTTCTCCTTGATACTGTTCAGTTCCTTTAAGAACAAACTATCAACATCAGTTTACATTCATAAATCTTTTTACATTTTAGAAGAAATGTTTTCTATTAGCAGTATCTTTAAAATCTTGAGAAAATAAAAAACAAGTTTAACAAAATTTTACAAGGACTGGCAGATGGAAACTGCAGTATGTCTTTCCAAACACTTTATTCTGCAACATGTCTTTCCAAAGAGTATTTCTGTAATATGCTTTAAAATATTAACAAAAAAACATTTATGACTTGGTAAAAATAACACAAAGCACACATGACAGAGATATTTAAATGAGCTTTCTAAAATGTCTATTCAGCTGAAGTTGCAGAAGAGAGTGCCCAGTGGAAAATAATGATTCATGGATTAGGATACCATTCTTACATGCTTGTAAATAATTTAGTCTAATATCTCACTTCTCTCAAATACTACATTCCTTTGGTTTTTCTAAATGCTATGTATTATTTTTATGCATAATAGTAATAATAATAAACGTTTTAAGAGTTTATTGCGGGTCAGGTACTCTTTTACATGTTTTACATGCATTTAATCCTTAAAATAACCCTGTGAAATAAATATTACCTTCACTTTACAGAAAGGAAAATTTAGAGATACTGCTCTAATGCTCAAGACCACTCAGTTTCTCAGTAGTGAACCAGAATTCGGATCCAGTTCTGAGCTCTGAAGCACTGATGGCTTCCCAGATTTAACACCATCTGGAAATGCCTATGTACAGTGGGAGAGCACGCTTAGCTGGCAAATTACTAGAAAAACAGACGGCCAAACACACAATTACGCTAAACAAGGAAAGTGCATATGAAGTGACACTTTAAAAAAACACAAAGAATTAAGAGTTAAATATGTTGTTTCAGAAGGTAAAGTAACTGTGTAGCTGAGACAAAAGATTTAACTCTCTGTACACAAGAGCCATCGGAAGTATTAAAAATGCACTTTCAATCAATGGCGTAGTCTTGCTCCCCAAAAGTCGAGCTTGAATTTCCTCAATCTAATTACCAATTTATAGGAAATACAGAGGATAGAAGAACATGTAAATAGCACCATGGGTATGCAATCAGCAGAATTCAGACTGAGGGAAATGCTACAGGAGAAACCACCCAGTTCCTTCAATAAATAAACTGCGAGGCAGGGAGGAAGGGGGAGAGAGTAAATCTACAGATTAAGAGCTATACTCACCAGTCAGTAACATCAAAAAGGAATTATGAAGCAATTAAGAAATGTGAATAAGCCTGAACATTTGATGATATTAAGGCATCATCTTTTTTTTTTTTTTTAAAGGAGTGATAATGGTACCCTGGTTATGGTAAGGAAAAAGATTACTCTTACCTTTAAAAGATCGATATATTTATAGATTAAATGATAAGGTGCCTGGGTTTTGCATCAAAATAATACGGAGAGTAGTGGCTGGAGGGTGCAGATGAAGCGAGAGTGGTCATAAGTTGGTAATTGTTGAAGCTGGGTCATGTGTACACAGGGGTCCATTATAATAGTCCCTGTATTTCTGATATATTTGAAAATCTCCATAATAAAAGCTAAAAAATTAAATTCCAGGTAGATAATAGATCTAACTATGAAAGGTAAAGCAACATAGCTTTTACAAGACTGAAAAAAGTTATTAAATTGCCTATACTCTTCTTTTTTCTTAAAGGAAGTATTAAACGTTGCAAATAAATAGGTAAATAATACAAGAGTACAGAAAAAAGACTTAGAAGATTCATATGAGGAGCCACCCTGATAAAAACCAGGAGTACTGGTAAGTAGCACTTAAAAAAGGCCAAGTACTTTTAGTGGACAAATCAGTAAACAGATGAAAAAACTACTCATAAGCTAACACTAAAGGGCACAGGAAAGCTTAAGAGGCACCAAGTGCTTTTTAAAAGCACCTTGACAGTAGTGATAAGCAGACTAAATTACAGAAAATCACCCCGAAGAAATGCTGGTAGAAGATAAATTAACCTTTCCGTGGAATTAAATTCCTAATATTTACTTGTGTCCAGTTACTAGGAGAGGAAAATTAATTCATTGTTTCAGCAATAACAATTACCCACAACTGGTTCAAAGAAAAGTTGATATGGGAAGACTAGAAATCTGACTTAATCATCTTTGCTTTCAAGTTCTAGGAAAGAAACTAAACAGAGATTTACTGGTAAGATAGGGAAAACAAGGGGGAAAAACATCTGAGGACTGAAAAAAAAGCAAAACCATTGATAAATTCAAGTGTGGCTTTATTACATATCTGTAGTGACAAGTTTCTTGAAGGCAGGTATTGCACTTTTCAAATTCTGAGAATATAGCTAGCACGAAACCAATAAATATTAAATGTATTATCTGTCGAAATGACCGAATGGCTACTTAAAAAGCCAAAGGTTCTTCTCTGGGGTCAGTTGGACTAGAACAGAAGTTGTTACAGCTTCATTACATTATCTAATCATTTAGGAATGAAAAACTAGCAAATAAACACCTACAAAAATCAGCTTATGGGGAAAAAAATGCAACCTACGCTTAAGAGAAACAACTTAACATGGGCTATCTATAGCAGCTGCCTTAAGACCTCGGCCAGAGTTGTTTGAAACACTATCAGAAAAAGAATAAAGGCCACTTATTAATACGACTTCCTGCAATGAAAGAGAAAGGATAACAATGAGTAGTTCCGATTTGCTGTGTCATCGCCACCAGATTTCCCAAATTTGGAGAGATAATTTAACAGAACTCAAGCAACTTTGAAGTTTATACCATCTATACCAAAAACCAGAACCAAACCTGTCGAGTCAATTCTGACTCACAGCAACCCTACAGGACAGAGCAGAACTACCACACAGGGTTTCCAGGGTGCAGCTGGTGGATTCAAACTGCCGACCTTCTGGTTAGCAGCCAAGCTCTTAACCATTGCGCCACCAGGGCATACCAACTATTTTGTCATTCTATACCATCCACAGAATGACAAAATATAAAAGTATCTCATTTTATTACAGCCTCAAATAGAGGAAGGGAGTTCACAGGATGACAGTGGTCAAGCCAGTCCTAGTTGGTGGCAGTGGTGCCGCTTATCCTTTCCCAACACAGCTGCTGCTTCTGCCACTCGCCCAGGAATGGAAGGAAACTGACACTTCCAGCTCCAGCTGGCCTGTGTTTTTGTCTGCTCTCCCTCAGTTCCACAATGTTCTGTGACACAGATCCATTTCACACCACCAGGAGGTGCAATAAGTGTGGAAAATTACCCCTCGCCCCCAGAAAACTCTTCTAGGTCTCAAAACCAAGGTTTTAAACATATCATCATACTTACAAACTGTAACCAATGTCACAGAAATATTTGTGCATGAACTGTTGAATGGGGATCTAATTTGCTGTGTAAACTGTCAGCTAAAACACATTAAAAAAAAAAAAAAAAACAGCCACCATGCTGTATCTAACAGTAGCTCCTCCAGCGAACACATTTAGAACAGTATAATTATCTTTCGAAGTAAAAAATCACTGGGTAGGATATACACTAGAAGTTCTAGTTTTCCTGAGTCATGGGTTGTACTTATATATTGGACAAAGCATTTAAATATAACATTTATTGATTACTACCTCAATAATTTTTTTTTTAATTTCTCTTTTCAGCCTAAATTATCTCTGAAGGGGAATGACTTTCCAAAATTTATCTGCTACTGTGAAATACTAGTTCTAATTTATTTTTCCCTGATGGAAACTCTTTTCTCCAAATAACCACTGAAGTTGAAAAGTCTTATTCCAGCCCAATCTCCTTACTTTATAGATAAGGAACCTAAGGTATGGAGACTCATGTTGATTCTGCCTCAAACCATACATAGCTGTGTCTAAGGTAGTGTCAGAATTTGAATCCAAGTCTCCGAACTCCCTAACCAGCGTCTTTTCTATCACATAAACCTTCATTCTGTTACTCCAAGCTCCCAGAGCAGTCCTCAGTCAATTCGGTGTTCCCTCATTTGCAAGTTCCCCACTCCTGTTATACCCCCGAGAATGAGAGTAGCCATTCTATGGATCTGCTTCACCTCCATCATGGCATTTTAAGATGCACAGTCTAACTGGACACAGTCCCACAGGTACATAATTCTGTAGGATGCTTTCATTTTTTAGGAACAATTTCTTCTCTTCCTGCCAGTGAAAGATGAAAATTAAATCCTGAGTATTCATTAGTAATATAACCTCATGTTCTGATCTTAATATCATGTGTCAGCCACCCACAAAAGCTTTAGTGGCAACATTCTTAAATGTTCTTGATGGTTCAAGTCTCCATTCTAAACTGGGTAGTAAAAAGGAAGACAGAAATTATTTTTCAACATTAGCTTTCATTAAATAACTTGATAAGTACTTATATGGCAAATTTAATCTAAAGGGCTTGAAAATTAATAGCATAAGGTAATAAAGACAAACGAGTATGGAAGAACAGCAGGAATATCGCCTTGATTTTTGTCTTCTAAAATATGTACAGCCCCTTTAAATTTCTGGATATTGTAAAATTAAGCCTTTAAGATAACAAGATGTTTCTTAGAATTTTTCCTGCTGTCCTCTGGCTTAGAATGAAGAGGTAGTTTGTAGAGACTCCTTTTGGACTTTTAAAAACTATTTAAGTTGATATCCTAGTCTTTATACAATATATTAAAAAACAACCAATGAACCTAGATCTGGAAAAAGTCATTATTTTATTGTACCTTTGGTAAGTAAAAGCAAAGAGTAAGTAAATAGCAAAATAAGTCCAAAATAAATATCTGAGTCCTTAATGGTCAAATGAATAGCTAAGAAAGAAAAATTATTAAAGCAAATCACTTTTGAAACAGAATCTCTCTCTTAAGGAAGTTTATCTAACTCTTAACGCCAGAACATCTTAAGGAAGTTTATCTAACTCTTAATGCCAGAACATCTGCTTTGATTATCAAAAATACACTGATCTAAACACATGCCATCTAAGCCCTTAGTCCTTAATCCTCACAACATTCTAAGGTAGGTATTTATCATTATTTTTACCCTGTACCTGAGGAAACTGGGACCCTTCGAAGCGATTTGCCCAAGGTTACAGACCATGAACCCGGTTTTGCAGGTTCGGAAACCTGTAGGCACTACATGGCCTCCATGGTAGCACAGAAAACGTGAAAACAAAGTATAACTTCAGGTTATGTCTGATGCATTATTCAGGCCACTATGAATTATTTTGTTTTCTGGTGTCATGAAAAACTCAAGTTTGCCACCTATACTTCCAGATTTTAGGGTGGGTGGGTGGCACAAATGAACTGTTTTTCTCTCCACTCTTATCGCATAATCACTAAAACTCATAAGGAAGGGGACTAGCCAAATTCTTAAACTTTATTTCCTGCTGCCACTGTTATATCTGATCTACTCAATTTAAGTCTTAAGATTTTCCTAGTGCACTAAGACACTAAAGTTATCATATATGTCTTTTAAGGAAATCAACTATGTTATTAAGTCATTTTACCTGTCAGGAAAGTTAAAAAAAAAAAGATCAACAGAATATAAATCTGGGTTGTTTTCTTCTTTAGGGGAAATTTCTTAATTACTTAAACCAAATGGAGTAAGTGGCCCACCAAAAGTGAAGTATAATGGAAAAGGCAACAGAGAAAAAGAATCACAAGAAGTTATACAGTGATCTACTCTCACTAGTGTTAAAAAAGCAAAGGATGAGTCTCCTCTTGGGTACCTTCAGCATGACCACAAAGGCCACTTGTTACACCTACCACCCACTCCAACAATTCCAGGTTCATTAGAAATGAAAAGAAACCAAGCAAGATAAAGGACCTATCCCAACCAGGCCTGAAGTCTCCACACCATACCCTGAGGGCTAGAGGTCCAGGGCGAAGCTTTCCCCACCCCCAAGCCTTCCCCGTTGTCCAGGAGGCAAAGCCCACAGCCTGGGACCAAGAAAGCCCCCGGGCCAGGGCAGTGACCCACCTCTAGACAACCCCGCCTGGCGGGGAGCGGGGAGAGCTGGTAGGTGGGGGCAAGAGCAAAGAGGCCTGGATAGGAGAAAACGGGGCTAACAGGATATTTTGAAATGAGAGAGGGTCCCTTCCCAGCCTCGCCGATCAGGACGAGGCCCGGGGCCGGGGAAACAGCCGGCCGCCGCCATGATGTGGCTGCCCGAACCGGGGCGGGGGGGCGTGACGCGAGCGGCCCCGCAAGCAGGGTCGGCTTTCCTCCCTCTGCTTCCTCTCCCCCGCGTGGGCCACGGCCACAACTGCCCCCCGATACTCACGCTTTGTCCACCAGCTCCCGCACCTTCCACATGTTCAACATCGTGCCCCGAGCGGGCCAGGCCGCCACCTCCCTCTCCTGCTCCCCACGGACCCCGGAGCACTTCCGTGCTGGGGCAGGTCCAGGTCGGGGTCGCCGCTGCCGCCCGCCGCCTCAAACTCCCCTAGTCTGCTCCTTCCCTTGCCACAGCCGCGGCGCCGCCGGTGACACGTCGGGACGCGGCAGCAGCAGGGCTGCGTGGAGCGGAAGTGCCCGACTTTCCGTCCGCTGCGCGCAGAGCGGATCGGAACTTGTAGTTTTGTCTATCCGCGCGGGGGGGCGGGGGGGTGGAGCTTGCTGTTGGAGGGAGATCTCTCCACTTAGGCAATCAGAAATCTTTGGGATGAAGGAAAAAGCACAATTGGCCAACCAGTTACCGTCTATGTATGGATTCAATAAATATTTATTGGACATCTTTACAGAGTCCGCTCTGTTGCAGGTACTAGGAATGAGCAGACAACAAAGGAGAAGAAAATCCTTGCCTTCGTGGAGCTACGATTCTAGACAGGGAGATAGCAAAAAAATAAAAATAAAAAAAGTGAACCAGAAGTATATATTTAAGACAAACAAACAAATAAACCCGTTGCCATTCAGTCGATTCCAACCCATAGTGACACTATAGGACAGAGTAGAACTGCCTCGTAGGGTTTCCAAGGAGCGGCTGGTGAATTCGAACTGCGTGCCATTTGGTTAGCGTCCGAGTTCTTAACCAGGGCACCACCAGGGCTCCAAGTATATATTAGAAAGTGTCAAATGCCATGAGGAAAAATAAAGCAAGAAAAAACTCCTTCTTACAATTTTGGAGCATGTGCAACAGTAATGGAAATAACCAACATAGAAGACTTATTATACCATGTGCCAGGCACTCTGCTAAGGTCTTTATATAGATGATCTCATTTAATCTGCACAATTTATTTTGTGCCAGATACAGACCTTTGCTTTTCCCAGATTAGTTTGTTTAATCTCATTCTTCAAAAAGAAAGGAAAACTTTAAAAGTTTACACACAGGCATACAGTTTGTTAAAGGATAAAGGTGGGGATCGAACCCAGGTGGCTGAGCCAGAGCCTCAGCTTCTAATACCTCTGCGTGTCAACCAACATGCTATGAGCTGGTGGCAGAGTTGAACTTTTCACATCTACTGTGTGTTATAAGCAGGCAGCAGTGGCAACTTTCCCAATAGAAAGATGGCTTTTCACATTACAACAGGATACACCATCTAACTCTAGGGCTACCTAGTGTTAGAAGACATCCCTTGAAAGTTAGTGATCTTCTCATCTGAGTCAGAGTTTGGACAATCCCTTGTGAGAAATGCAGAGAGCAGTCCTCTGTGGAACAGGAGGCAGGTTAGACAAAATGACCCCCAAAACACTGGAATTCCATATCACAGTCACTCTTAACAAATCCACCTGGACACAGGAGACAGAGGAGCAGGCCCAATGCCAGCAGCCTTGAAGAAGGACAAGCAGAAAAATCTCTCAGATATAGTTTCCCTTGGGCCTTTTGGCAGAGGAAAACTCTAGTCAGCTGAGAGTGGGGGAGGTTCCTGGCCTCCAAGGAAAGGTAAACGACTCCCCAAGAGGGTGAGTGGGTAGGATGAGTCAAAGCCCTCACCTCGAGGAGAGCTCAAATTGAGGAAATGGGAGGAAATCTGGATCCCAGTCCTAGTTCTGCCTCTTACGAGCCACTTGACTTTGGGCAAGATACTTAATGTCTCTTGGTGATTAAATATCCTCATTTGTGAAGCAAAGATAACAATCTTTGCCCAGCCACCTTACAGATATGGGTTGTAGTGAGGACCAAATGAGATAATGGGTTAGTGTAGGACAGCAATTCTCAAAACGTGGACCCAAGACCAGCAACAGAAGCAGCCCCTGGGACCTTGTTAGAAATGCAAACTCTCAGGGCCTTGCCCCAGACCTACTGAATCAGAAACTCTGGGGGTGGAGCACAGCAGTCGCTGTTAAACAAGTCCTCCAGGTGATTATCATGCATGTTCAAGTTTCAGAACCACTGGTGTAGGATCATGCTTTTCAAATGTAAAGTATTACAGTGTTATGAGTAATGACTATAAAGAAGTATGATTGGCCTATGTGTTCCTCTTTAATAGAAATATTGCTGTATTTGGTTCCTAATATCCAAATATACTTAGCTCTCTGGCCTTCACTGCTGCAAACTGAAGGGGTGGTATTCTAAAGTCTCTTCCACTCTAATTCTATGGTACAGTGGTTTTATATTTCGGTAGCTACCGGATGTCCTTGTTAGATACTTTATTATAAAGCTTAGAAACTCAGTTCACTCTCCATGGGAAATAGCTATAGAAAGACAACACTGTATATATGACATTCCCAAGAACTTGGCAGGTTCATGTTCTTAAAGTGTAATTATGCACACATAATCCTTTAAGTGTTTTGTTGCAATGGTGTCATCCCTTCATTTCTCACTTATTCATCTTTGTCAATGTTCATGTTAAACCTGCAAGTGACTTTCAAATTCATTTGGTCCAGTACTGCCTAAATTTTATAGTTCTTTTCATTCTACGGATATTTATTGAGCACCAATGTGCCAGGAGTAGGGAATTCAGCTGGTACAAGACAGACAATGCCCCAGCTTTCTTGGAGCTTAACGGTTGTTGGAGAAAGTAGGTAATAATCAAGGACATTTAAGATAATTGCAGAGAGTAAGAGCTTAAAGAAAAGAGAACAAGGTAATGTGATAGAGAATGATGTTAGAGGAGGTTAACATTAGGGAATACTTGGGATTTCTTTGAGGACGAAATATTTAAACTGAAGCTTGAGTGATAAAAAGGAGCTGGCCATAAAAAGATCTCCAAGAAAAGAGTTCTTGGTGGAGGGAATAAAAGATCTGATTCACAAAGGAGAAGTGAAATTGGTTGTGCCTGGTCATG